CATCACTAGCTACAACTTTTACCCGTTGTTCTAACAACGTTAAGACGGCTTATCGACTTCTTGAGAAGAATTCTAAGAAGAAAGTAAACCTACAGACATCGGTCTTGTTTAACAAAATCTGCATAAAAGAAAGTAAATAAAGGATAAGTGCATTTGTAGTGTGATTTAACATTCCTGATAGGTAGTATACACCAAAGAAGTAAGCTGCCTCACATGATGGTAGGTGAGAGCATCAAGTCTAATGGCAAGCAAAAATTGCACAAATTATCTTGACTTCAAGTGCTTAGAAAGAGCTACTGTGCAAGGAGGTTGTTTTACCCTCCTATTAGTGGAGGACTATCATTGCATGATGTCATCATGCGCTAGCACTGTTCATGTTAAACATGTTTTTTAGGTGGGAGGTAGCTGTGGCTACTAGCATGCAAATCTCATAGGCAAAGGTGTGAACGAATCAAGCTATTCTGTGTGAGGTATCTCAGAATTCAGTAATGATTCAATTAGTGTGTAGAGAGAGACTTAAATGCTAAGTGTATATCTTTAAATACAAACATATTAACAATTGAAACAAAAGCAAAATTTTCTCTGAATTAAGTGTGCTGAATTAACTCATCTTTAAGGAGATCTTAATTGAAACATTAAAAAGGAATAAGTTATGCTTCTATCTCACCTGAAGAGTTCAATGAAAATGTTATATTGATTGGTCCAAGTAATAAATATGGTCATAAAGTTATTCTTCACAAAAAAAAAAAAGCTTTAACATAACACGTGAAAGATGTTACTTGGTAGTTTAATAATATAATTTTTAAACTTAATGTAAGACTGATAAAAAATATATGACAGATTATATATTAAATATTAAAACATAGGGCAGAGCAGTATTTGTTTCAAGAGATATTTTGACATTCCCTCCCCTCCCCTCCTCAGTGGAAAAACAAAAACTACATATTAAACAATGTTCAGGGAAACTGGGTCTGTTTGAACAGGGAGGCTCAAAATACTGAATTCTCTAAAGAACATCAGATATGGTTACAGGATGTCCTGCTGAACAGCTCCCAGAAGTCCATCCAAAGAATAATTTTGATATTGAAATTATCCTATGGAAATGTGTCCTGAATTTTGCACAATGATCTGAACATGACAGCTTACTGTATTCAGATTCCACATCAGCTTAAGGATACAGATTTTCTGGAACAAGTGCAAGTATCACAAGAGATGATTGCCACATTAGGATTTGAAGAGATGGAGCTGCTAATGCTCTTTAAAAATGACACAACATTTCAACTGTCCATATGTGTCAAGAAATATGGCTGTGTGATATGAGGAGCATAGTGATCAGTTCCTGAGTGTGAGAATACATGGGATTAATGTCTAATGCATATTATCTGCTTAACAGACAGTGGGGCCCCATTCTTCTTCCCACATGATACTGTCAATAGTGAGGATTACTTGACACTGCTGCCAGAGTTCTTTATTCCAAGCCTATTTTAACTTGGGATACCTCTTCATGAAGTTCAGTTCCAGCAATTCAATGCACCCCCCCACATTTGTTGAGGGTGGACCAGGAATGGTTAAGTGACATATGCAAGTTGGATAGGCAGAGATGGCCCAATGAAGTGGCCTCCTTTTTAAATAGATTTAACCCCACTGGCTTTTTTTTCCTATTGGTTATATTAAGGACAGAATGTATGCCAAAAAACTCTGGACTATCAAAGAAATCATGGATAGAATTACCCAATGCTACAAGCAGATAACCATTAAGATCTTGGGATACATTTACCAGAATTGATAAGTGCAATGATGTCGTTTTAAGACACATGGTAGCTTAAAACAGACATTGTTACAAGCTAAATGCTTTAAGTGACATCACTACAAGCTAAGTGTTCTATTTTACTGATGTATGTTTGTGTCATTAGTGTATCATATTCTTCTCATACAAAATCAGCAGGGTATCCTAGGATTACTCTGTATTATAACGAACTTTTAAGAACTTGTTATAATGGGTAATCATTAAAAATTATTTTCTTGCAAAATGTAAATATCAAAAACAAAACAAGTAAAAAAAAAAAGAAAAAAAAGACATTTTAGAATATGAACCACAATGATGTTTTAATTATATAGTTCTGAATTGTCTATACAATTGCTTTATACTAAACAACAGTTTAAGAAATTTGCTAGATTATTCTGTGTTGGGAAAAACAATTTTCAAAAATGGCAAGTCATTCAATAAAAATACAATATTTTATTATTAATTTTTAATAAGGCATTAATATTTTCACCAGATAAGTAAAATAATAAATGTTTTTCATCTCATTAAAAATATAAACTAAAAAAATGGAAAAGGTCTTACTAAAAAAAACATTTCACCGAGAAAGTGAAATCATATTTTGTACAAATTTTGGATGTATGAAAATAATTAAAGAATACTCAGTTCACATTTTATTATTGTGCTAAGCATTTGGTTGTACAAAGTAGGAGAGATATTGGCTCCATGTTTAATCATAGCCAAAAACTTTCTAACCTCAAGCATGAAAGATGAAATAAAAATACATCAGATTCTGTGCAAGAGAAACAGATTTTTCTAGAAGTAAAGAAAGCTTATAGAACTATACAGTTTATCACTGTTACATTGAAAAAGAAATATATAAATAAGTTTCTTATATGAATGAGCTGCCATACTGTATTGTGTTTTCTTTGCTTTTCTTACACTATATATGAGAAAGAGTTTGAGCATTTCGTGCATTTGCTATCCTCTTTGTACAAAATCTACAGATGTAACTTGAGATGATCTTTATAGGGATTATGTAGGTTCTGCAGATCAAATTTGCAGCTTAGAATATAGAAAAAAGATTTTATTGTGATGTCTTTTTTAAAGAAAGAGTTAAAAATTCTTACCTTTGTTATAGATTTAAGTTACTGATTTTATCTTGTCCTATGTTCTTTTATCGTTTGACACATACTACATGCAGTTTCCCAGTGCTTATGATCACTGGTGCACAATAAATATAGCTTTTGTTACACAATACCACAATTATAATTAAGAATTTTTTCAAAATTGTTAACTAGGTTTTATTTAATAAATTTACAAGTTTTAAACTCATTTTACATTCATTTTTTAGGATATTTTCTTTGCCCATTGAAGCAGTTACTTAGAATAATAAGGTCTAATGTAAAAACAGCCTTTTCAGAAAAAGGAAATTTCATATGATTAATTGCAAAATTATCTAAATAATCTTGCTTCATCTTGTTCCACAAAAAACATTTCCTTTCATATCACACTGCAACATCATAATTCAACTCGCATATAAAATAATAAAGAAAACTTTTCACAAGCCTTTAAAAAAGTCAGGACTGTAATTGTGGTGGATGTTGTTTTTAAACATCTTTTCTAGTAGCATCTTATCACCAACGTAAGTTTCTATAACTCTGTTGCAACCTCTGTGCATTTGTTTGTTCTGTTTTGAGTTTTGTACAAAGCTAATTGAGAGCTAACTCTGATAGTTGTCTCTAATTTTAAAGCGATAAGACTAATAAGAGCATCTAGTCAATGCCACCCACCACCAACTCTTGGGCTATTTCTTCCTAATGAATAGTGGAATTAACCATAACATTCAAATGTGACTTTCAGAGTACAAGTTGAGTGTCCTAACCACCACGCTTGGTCTCTATGTGAGTGCTGAACTGGAAGCTGTATCAGGTTATACAGTTGAAAATAACAGAAAAACAGCTTTCATTACATGTTTAGATCACTAATCTATAACTTCTCAAAGCTGAGATATAAGCAATTATATCATACCACAGCAACTGAGGTTTGGAAAAAGAGTGATTAGTTAAAATCAACAGATCTTGTATTGAAGTTACAAGAATCAGATTAGTGCTTTCATTTTTCTTAGGTTATAAGCACCATATCATTTTCAAGAAAAAATTCAAGATATTCACTAATATTTTCACTTAAAGTATGCAGAAGTCAACCCAAATTTAAAATTGTGATTTCTAAACATTTTTTTATGTGTAAAATAGAATACATCAAACTTTTGTATTAGATAAATTTCAATTCTTAAGTATTTTCTTAAAGACATTTGTCTATTTTCTACAATTTTTTCAATTCAACGATGCACCCATTTGAGCACCAGAGAGTTAACTACTTTCAAGTTTTGCCTTGTAACAGTTATATGTATAATATTACTAATCCAATTATCGTTAGTTCTGTGCAACTTGTGTACACTGTTGAAGAAATTTATGGCACAAAATGGCCACGTACTTACTCAAAAACTTCAGATAAAAGACTATAAATAACAAACCATGATATGCAGTGTTTTACAGGTATACACATATAATGTTTAAGGATGATTTTTTGTTGCAAATTAACGAGGTCAATAACATTACATGACCATATGGTGACAGAAGAAAAATACTGAAAGTCAGGAAGGGATAGCTAAAAAACAGACAACTGACTCTCTGTTAGAACATTTTTTTCATCATAAGTAACCTTCCTAGAAGTTTGATGGAATTCCATTTGAAACCACAGAATCTGTGAATACATATTATACAGTATTTTACATTAAAAACTGAAAGAAAATAAATAGCACAATGTGTCTTTCATGATAGTTTGGGGACTAAATACACTGGAATTACAAAGCAAAATGATGAATTGGACATATATTATTTCTTAACTAAGTATATTCAACTTACATGCACATTAATACCCTCCTGCTCCAATAAATCAGTCTCATAGGTGGCTTCACAAACCCTCACAACATCCTTAACATTATGCTTCTTCAATTCCTGGAAAATCAAACAGAAAGAAAATACATATTCACAATCCCAATATACCTTTAGCAACTTCTAGAATATGTGAAACACAATTGAAAATCAATTATAGAATAATATTATAAATATATTCATATTGTTAGTATAATACTGAGGAAAAAGAAACAAAAAAAGCCATAATTAATCATAAACAAGATTATCACTGTTTTTATAAACCTTCTCCACAGCCTTTAATCTATAATTCATCTTCTGAGAAAAAAATCAAACTAAATTTCATAGCTAAATGGAGTGTGAATAGAAACAACAACAACAAGATATACAATTAGTTTACCTTACAAACAAGGTTATTTGATTTGCTTTTACAAGTAAACTTTATTCTAACCAAAACTTAATAATTATTTTTTCTGAGGTAAAAAATAAAAGACAACTTTTACACAAATAAATCCTTATAAAAAAAAAGCCACATCAAGGTGATTACCTAAAACAATGACAACACACATATGCACTAGATAGTATCATGAAATTTTTATACATATATATGTGTGTGTGTGTGTACTTTGGCGACATATTTTCTTGTAGGCAGATTTTGTTAAACAAGACCGATGTTTGTAGGTTTACTTTCTTCTTAGAATTCTTCTCAAGAAGTCGATAAGCCGTGTTATCGTTGTTAGAACAACGGGTAAAAGTTGTAGATAGTGATGAGTTGGCTGACGCGTTTCGAATGCGTTCTGCATCCATTATCAAGGCTGAATGTTGTGTGAGTTGTGATTACTGTTGGTGGATATTTATAGGTATGGGTAAGCAGGTGGTGGTATCTAGCTCGTGGAAGGCGTTAATTGGTGGAGTGTTGTATTGTGGCTTGGAGGTTATCGACTTCTTGAGAAGAATTCTAAGAAGAAAGTAAACCTACAGACATCGGTCTTGTTTAACAAAATCTGCCTATATAACATCAATAGTTATCTGTTTACCATTTGAAGTTGCAAGTTCACAAACTAATTTTATATTTTAAAATTGTACTTTCAGGTAGTATCCTTTAAAAATGGAAAAAATAAATTCGATTATGAAAAAGTAGGTTTTTCAAAATACACCGAAGACTTGAATAATTTAGCGAAAGCAAGTTTTACACATTAAATCATATTTTTTTTATTTCTAATTTATTTTCCTTGTTAGAACTGTTAAATTTTGGAATAATCTACTTATGTGTGATTCATGCTGATACTTTAAGCTATTTTGAATTATACTGGATCAGTATACATATAAGAATAGTTAACATGCACTGTAAATAAAAGAGAGCAAGGTAACAGAAAACATCAGACTAAAGGTTATCCATCAAATACACAATGTACTAACTCAACACAAATCTACAGCATACATACCAACAACAACAAAAAAAAAACACATCATCAGATAAACCATTACATACACTTACAGATCTAATGAAAAATTAATTTTTCCAGAAAAAAAAAATGAAAAAAAAATAGAGCATCTTGGCTTTTAAATTGAAATACCTTACCATAATGTTCAAGCTTGTAAAAACTTAACCTTATTCTGCTACTTTAACAGACCACTCATAAGCAGCTTGTTTAAACCCTAACAATTTTAAACATATTAACCTTCTAATTAATAATGAGGGTTTATATGGACTCCACCATATTTACAAATACATTTTCATAAATTATTTATGAACTACATTCCTTTTGAGTTCCAAGATTACAAGTCCTTAATAGCACACAAGTTACACACAAAATTAAAAAAATACCATTAATATTGTCAGTAATCCCACTATATGAAATAAGTCATTTTCTATGTATTTTACAAATAAAATGAGTGATTTTACCCAATTCATTTGTGTAAATTTGTTACACCGAGTGTTGTAACAGACAAAAACAAACTTAATCAATAAATAAACTCCATAAGTAGTGAACAGTATAAAAACAAGTTAGTAATATGAGGGCTGATCAAACCAACTCTAGTTCTATGCTATAGTGAAATTAGGTCCAAGACATTAAGCCTCTCCACATAGCTAGTTTCTTAACCAAAGTATAATTGTAAAGTCCACTTCTGCACTATCTTGTACATTAATATTCTTCCTGTTCTACAAGGACCAAAATGATACTATATATGATGACTTACCTATCTTATTATTGTACAAGATTGACATTAATGAATGACCACAATTTTGGACAGAAAATAATACATAGTAATCTATAAAGACAATACAACAACTGCTATTTTGTTTTATTTATTGAACATTCTGGTGTATTGCACTGACATTTATTAAAAATTCGTAAAATAAGTCAAATGAACATATAAAAAACACGTTATCTATCCCAGTTGACCAAAACACATATTGTGTGCAGGTCTATTAACTATATATATAAATAATAGCTCAATGTCTATCTGTAATGTTCTGCATTTCCTGAAAAGTTAATCATAGAAAAGAAAAAATGCACCAGAATGCTTCTTTTCAAGAGTACATTACTGGAAAATTACTCCTTTTTTTTGCAATTCCAGAAATTATATATTGATATCAGCATTGATCCTTCAGTCTTTGTATGTGCTGAACAGTCAATCTTGGTAGAAAATGTTTCTTTTTGTGATAGAACTTCATGGCAAAAATGAGACTTCCCCCATCAACTAATATAGAAAGAGGAATGTATTTGAGTATATGTTTGTTGTTGTTTGGTATATATATATACATAAATTTTTTCATCTCAGTATTACATATGTGCATGATTTTATTGTACCATGTAAGATAAATTGATTTGAATTGAATATTTCCTCTTTGACACTTCATAAAGAAATGACAACTGTCAAAAAGCACTCACTTCGGTAGCAGTCTTTTTTTGCATTCAGTAAAATGACCAGAATTAGTGGCATCCAGCAGAAAGTCTGTGGCAATTTAGCAGACCTGAGTTTCCTATTGTGCTGGATGCACCCATTGCATTGAAACCAACACATTTTGCCAACAATACATTACAGTCAGTCTCCTTTGCTTAAAAACAAAAGAAATGCAATTTCCCTTGTTAAAATTAACCCATGGAAGGACAAAATATGATTTCAAACAGTTCACTAGAAAATTATATTTGCATGCATGCTCTGATCCAAGGGATTGGCTTGACAGCACATTTTATATTTATCAATCATTATTCTTAGGATAATTACCATTGAACTGTTTCAGTGGGCATCTGCTATCTTACTATAGTTGAACACGGTGCACATGAGGTATGATGATTTTTTTTATTTAATCCTTGTATGTTATTTTAGTCACTGCTCTTATTTTATTTCATTCTGCTGTTTATTATTTGACTTGGGCTATTTCTCATTTACAGATAAACAGAGGGCTATAATTATTGGAAGTTGAAAGCACTCTCTTCATTCTGAAAAAACAACAAGTATTTTCATGAAATAGAACTAGTTGATTATCAAAGTTGGTGACCTGGAAAAAAAAACATATTTTACCTTAGAATTCAATTAAATGCTTGTAATCTTGAAGACAAAAATTATGATTTTGTAGAAAAGGGGAGAAATTTTGCCACAGATCAGCTGCTACCAGGAATGTGTGAACAGCAGGAATAAAACTATTTAGAGTAGGACTAATCTCAAAAACCCACAAAAATAATTTTACCCCCTTACTTTTACATGTTGTGGAAACCCACATATTTCCATGGTATGTTTTTACTCTAATAACACTTTCATTCAACTTCAAACCCTAATATTTGATTGTACCATACATGGCATTTCATGAACAAAATAGTTCCTGGTATATAAAGTAAAACTTCAAAATTGCAAGAACTATCTGGACACATCAGCTGTCACAAAATAATGCAACAATTTATTAACCAGAGAAAGAAGTGACTTGAAGATATTGCAACAGAACAAGATTGCCACAAATTGTTTTTCAAGTTAATCTAGTTTATTTCTTCATCACTCTCTTCGCAACGTGGTCTCCTTGGCTTTTTGAAGAAGAAAATGTCTATTGACTTTTCAGCAGTAATTACCCCTCTCACCACAGGCATCTTTTACTGTGCATGTCATGAGGTTTTAAGCGAGTTACATTCAAAATTTAATTAAACTACTTTTTCTTTGTTCATGTTATATCAATTAGTATAGCATAAAATTATAGCTAATGATTCATATTTTAAGAGCATACAAGTTTTAATTTCTCAATTTTAAAAGGCAATATTAAACAAAGATCCTGAATTTCCCCTAGTCTGAGAAATGTGACATTTTCTCTAGGCATCCCCTCTTCTCTAATTTATTTACCACCCTTCCAAGAAGTACAAAATTTAATGCAAGTTACTTATTATAATATTGTCATCGATCAGGTAAAGCACAGGTATCATAGCCTTCAATTATGTTTGGTTATAGAGCCATCAAATAGAAAATCAGATCTCTCTTGCCATATCCACCTGTCACATCCCCTCTTTCAGGATTTGTCAATAGTTCTCTCTTGCATTTAATACTATATTATTTTTAACCAAAAGAAAGCCATGGTTTTTCATCCAAAAATGACGCATTATATTACGTTGTTTTCCCATATATAAAAATGTAAATTTTTCTTTCAGTACAAGCTTTGTTCCCACAGATAACACATTGATTAGCATGGATAAATTTGTAATGGCTTGTGTCGCATAGTTAAAAAGCATGATAGTTACGGGACATTGTCTGCTTTTTGCAGATTATTATTATTCTATGCTTTTTGATGCATTATTTAATTAAATCAAATTATTTAGAGCACTACTACCATTAGTATAAAAATAGGGTTAAATTCCATCAACAGTCGATGGCAAAAATAAAGAAAGCCCAAGTAAGTACTTTATTTCTTGGTTTTCATATGTATTCTTTATTATTATAAAAGTAACTAAAATGTGAAAACAGGACATCCTTTAGGTTAGATTAGATAAGATAAATAATAATAATATAACAAAAATTTTTCATGAGGCATGCTTGTGGGTAACATAATTTGATAGTGTAATGTGAGCCACATGTTCTCCAAGTGATTTACATTTACA